TTCAAAGTTCGGACAATGTTCGCTGCCACACTACTGTACTTGTACGAACTACAACTCGCTATTTCAAGTTCGCGCTAACCTATAAATGTTAATTCCCTTTCGCTGTTTGAAACTCGACATGTTTAAGGTTCAAAAATGTCTAAAGCAGAACAGTAAGAGCGATTTTAAGGCCAAGAGCATGGCAGAAATGTAGGAACGAGGAGTGCTTGTAGTGGAAATTCTCGGCCCAGCAGCTAAAATGGTTTTATAAACATTGGAACTAAAACCGGTGATGTAGGCAAATTCTTTTTCTTTCGTTGGCACTTAGCAAAAGCTACAACTAGTATAGGGTTTTGCCATATCGGATTATCCCCTGGGTTTTGTTTTATAACATCGGGTATAGTTACACCTGCACCCAAAATAACTATTGTAAACAAGTCTGCGGGGTAGTGATCACAAGAAGCCTTTTAATCTATGTCGTTGCATCAATATGCAGAATTTACAGAAACAACTTCCCCTCTCGTTCTATCGCTGAATCATGGCTTTAAAAGGCTGGGAGATTGACCTGGTAATAATTCGCTCATTGTTTCGCAACGACAAGCATTCATAACTTATGAAAGAGGGCGGCTTGTCACCTTGACTTTTGTACGTAAACTACATAAATTAAGGTAGTTGGACCGAAGATAAAAACAGCTGCCACTTGCAAGAAGTGCCAAGAATTGTGGGGTTGATACGACAGTTGTCAACAGTAGATAAGGGTTCCCTAATGTGGAGAAGTATTCTGCATAAGGTTTCAGCTGATACTAGTTTTATTAACGGCAGAGAATACACAAGAGGTGCGATACACTAATGCGGGGATTTATCACTGGTAGATAAGAGCTTCGAAACGCGAAAACCGACCGCAGTATGATTTTCACGCACATTTTTCGTTATTTGGATGATAGAGATGCCGAAGAAGTGCGCCGCTCGCCAGCCCCGAAATTACGCATCCAGAACTCTGCTTCTCACTGGGAACATCAAGATGTTAGATTCCAGAAGATTTCAGTGACAGCTCCTGTGGGAAAAGTGTTAAGATCGCCACATAAAGATCGCGAAACTAGACAAGGATTCGCAAGTTTACGCGCGCCTAGCTCACGTCCTTGTCAAAAACCAAGAATGTTACCACCGATTCATGGATCGCTTATCAGAGGGGAAGAAACAACGGTTTGTAATGATCACAACTCGGCTAGGTTACCACCAATTGAGCCGTCTGTGAATCAACTCAGCGAGTATGAAAAGAGGTCGCGCTCAAGAACAGCAAAGAACGTTTGTTTGAAAAGTGTCATTGGCGCGGATAGCTCGTGTAAGGATCAGCCATGCATTTCTTCCGCTAATTTGCGACATCACGAGGAGGCAGGTTCGAAAGAGGAAATGCCAGCTGTTTTGAAAAGTTGCAGTTTGCAAGATATTTCTGCAAAGGAACACTATCAAGATCTTTTCAAGCAAACTGCGACTCAGCATGACTTGAAAGCGAGAACAAACGTGAAATCTGCTAAAACTAGTGGGATTACCGCAGGAGAAAACTTCACACAGAGGGCAAGGTCCGTTGGTGATTTACAAGCAGCGAGTGACAAAGAGTGGGCGCTAATGAGAGAATTTAGGAAAGAGAACACAGTTAACGATTTTTACAAACTAGGAAAACCAAGTGAAGTTAACAGAGCAGAAATTTTGCCTTTTCCCGTAAAGCGAAACCGCAAAAATGTAAATACACGCAACACGCAAGATGCTGAATATTTACATGGTGAGTCAGCTTTGTTTCAGGTAGACGGTTGCCTGGCAGCGACGAACTTCAAGAAAATGGGAAAATTAAACGATTTTGAGGCGGCAGAGTACGAAAAAGGAAGGCGCAATGCAATATGTGAAGTCTTAGAAAAGAGGACAGTTCCTCCGTTTGGGTCTAGTTTGTACGAAATGAGGCAAAATTTAATCCAGTCGTTGTAAGAGAAGCCTCGAATGCAGCAACGATCGAAAAGTAGCGATAAAACAAATTAAGCTTGAGACAGGTGCTTTTAGCCCTTTGACATTTTTAAGAAGTTCCGCGTGACAGAATGTAAATTCACTATTCACCGACGCTCTTGCAAGTCAAATATAAAAATATAAAACCGCGCATCCTGATCCGGTAGGAAAACTACCATTAAAGAAGGATTTATGGCTTAGGGAGAGAAAAAACGAAGTTGTTTCTTCAGAAAATCTCTATTGCATTCCTGTTTTTGTTTCGGGAAAATTATCGCTAAGATGAAGCGACTAGGAATTAATCCACGAAGACATGATTAAAAACATGAAATTATCATTCGTTTACTTTCATAAACGTCGAGAAGATTTCGTTGTAGTTGAACCGGTCGTAAAGTTTTTACTTTAGTTCGACCTTTGAAAAAATGAGTTGTTCATAAGCATTTAACCTTAACTGAGCATTCCGATTAAAGCACAGTTTTCCTTTTAAAGATTTAAAGACTCTTACAGTTTGTGCGTCAAAAAGGTTTTTAATTTGAACGGATGTTTATAACCGGAGTGAGAGTAAATAACGTTTAAATTTTAGCAGGTTTGAGCAAACCTAAATTGTTTATTCACGACTGTGCTAAAAATAGCTATCCACACAAGGACTTTCGTAAATTGTGTGGGTGTGATTTGCTCGGCAGGTGGAGAAAGGCAAGTTGTAATGTCCTGCTTTTTCCAGTGGTTTTAAGCATGAAGGGTAAGAAAACAATGCAAAAAGGAAGAAGGGAAGGCGCGTTGTTCACCATTAAGGCCCTGTTCACACGAGGCTGGACATTTTTTCCAACCGCATATATTTTTTACCCGGATTCACGATCATGTGGACGGGGTTTTTTATAACCACTCAACCAAAGATGCGGTTTCGGTGAGCGAGTTCACTAGAGAGTTTTAGATTAGGACGACTACGAGTACACGAGTACGAGATTTTACGTAAAAGTTTTTTTCGCGTATTGTCGAAAAATATTCAACCCGGAAAGCTTCATTGTACTATGTTCCACTTGAAAAATTAGTGCGGTTGTGTTTATTGGAGAAGGTTTAGCTCTTTCCCGGTTGCAAAATGATTAAACTTCTAAAATTTGATAACTTGTTTTCGCCAGCACGACATTCTCGCTAAAACTCATAGTAGAATGACGAATGGCGTTTTCCCGCCAAAATGACGTTGGTTCTCGCGCGTGCACTACTTAGTATTGAGAAAATGTCGTTCTCGTATATGTAGTCGTCCTCGTCTTAGAATCTAACGCTTTTCACTGTGTGAACAGAAGGCCGATTCGTGTAACAAAATGTGCGGTTTCAAAAGTATCTGGATTCGTCTGGTCGGGGTGTTAGACTCATTGTACAGCGCAATAAACAGTACCACAGGAAAGAACCGCTCCACAATAAAAATGAGAACCTCTCTTGCCGTTGATGGAACTTTAGCTATCATCACAACAACCTCCACTAGCGTAGCAGTTTCTTATTTGGTTACTTTAGGTGGCGCGTTTTTAGTGTTTAGTGTTAGTATAGAGCGAAGTAAGTGTGTCGTTAATTCCAGTTAGCGTTTGACTATTGTGTTATTGACTATTGTGTTTTGTTTAGTGTAGAAATGATGTACGTAGTGATAGTCGTAGCACCGATTTAATAATGCTTCGTTTCTTTTCCGTTATGTCGTTTTGTTTTCCTTCTTTTTTTTCTGCAGTTGTTGTAAAAAAAAAACTATAATAATAATAAAAAGAACCTGGCAACAGGTTAAAAACCAAAAAATGGAAAGTACTTCATCTACAGTCCATGAGTTATGACCACCGAACACGGCACAATAAACAGTACCACAGGAAAGTACTGATCAGTACCTATTTCTTGAATAGTCACACTTTACGATTTCAAGTAGAAAAATAATAGTTCCAACGGAAAGTAGTTCTCGAGTCAATTATGCAGATATAAGTAGCTCGAAACTTTGTGTCTCTGGATAGAATCAATATTTAACAAACAGAAATTTGGAATTGTTCTTAGATTATCGGTTTTGTCGCTCCTAAGAGAGTCAGAAAATCTATTCAGTGACAGAACTTACTAAGAAGCCCCCTCGCTAGAACAAGTTCCCACTTCCGCAGAGAGCGGGCGTTTCGATGGAGATTATTTGAATATTTATTCAAATGCTTAAATGTAAGAACGTATTTTACGGGAAAATAAACAGCAACAAGGGAAGTTGCTCGTCTAATTTTGTCGACAGGCTACGTGACTTATCTGCAAAGCAATCAAGATATCAGTATACCGAACAAGAAACGTGTTTTGATTGCCTGTGGGAAGCCTACGCAGACAACAGTCATCGGAATAAAGTATTGACCCCAAACTGGTCCACGCTTGCGAAATTCTTTGACGATTTGATCTGAGCGTGCTGAAGGGCATGAAGGTATTTTCACGTAGCCACGTACGTGAAGAAACCATTTCTTAAATAAAATTCTATTAGTCACTTATTTAAGAACGTTTGGTTGGAAGGTGGATAACAGATTAAGTTATCTGACATGCAAATTGCAGCAACGAGCAGCCAGAAATAAATAAATAAATAATAATGACGCCTATTAACCAAAGGTTAGGGAGTGTGGGCGAGATCAATCGAAGGTCAAAACGGTCTTACTCAAACGCTGTGTTTTGCGTAAGTTACGTTAAACGCGGGAGATGAGAAAGCGTTCATCCTTCGTGGAATTTCAAACACACGCCACGCATTCGTAATAGCAACCTGGAGATGAGAATTGCACCTGCAATGAATAACTATATGTGAATATATCAATCAATCGATCACGTGGACGTACATAAACAAATTGGTTATTCGTCTACCATACCGGTTTTAGAAAATGTTGGTTGTCGAGGAAGGAGGGAAGAGAACCAACAACAAACTCAACGCACATCTGACGTCACCTCTGTGGCATTGCTCGCCAAATGAAAACGTGACGGACAGAGTAGTATCAGAACATGCAAAGACGCAATAAAAATACAGATTCATCTAAGAAGTAGTTTAAGCTTTTATGTACAATATGGTATTAATTTGATATTAAAAATCACCTACAATACTCATTTTGCAGAAACATTACTCATGGCGAGACTTGGATAGCTTTACAGTTTTCAAAACAGCAAATATTTAGTCGCTCTTTCACAGTAGGCGCTTCATACGCGCCTGCAATCCCTTGAATTTGGCCAGCGTATCCTGCACTTTAGGGTTACGTGAGCAAATTGATTCCAATTCCACTAGATACGTAGCACAAGCATCATACAGCGAAGTCGTAAACGAACGCCTGAAAGAGAAAAAGCAACCGGTCAATGGAAAATATCAAATTTATCTAAAACCAAACCCTAATATTTGTTAGTCAAAAGTCATTTCTCAGTCCTATTTGAATTTAGGTGGAAAAATTCATGATATCTGTAACGAATATAACAAACAATGGTGTAATTTGGTGTAGTTTATGTAATTGAAGTTTGGTGAAGTTGCTGTAGTTGGTGAAGGTGTGGTTATTGGTGTAGTTTGGTTTAGTTGGTGTAGTAGCTGGAGCTACTTACCTTTCATATGGCGGAGAAAGAGAAGGCGTACTCACAAACTTCATCAATAAATGATAAATTACTTCAAGAATGTGAAGAGGCCTGTTAAGAGCTTTCCAGGACGGGTCCTAAAACATGTACAACTCCAAATTGAACGTTCTGTCCAACATTGAGAGGCGCTTTAATTAAGCCACGCTAAGTTTTTCTTTAATGGTAAGATATCAAGATTTCATACACTCACTTTAAGTTATAACCACCTTGTACAATGAAATAAACAGTGCCACAAAAACGGAGTGCACAGATACTTTTATTTGATTGTAGAGACTTTAGGATTTCACCCACAGACTCAAAAGTTAGAACCTACTTTTTACAGCGTAATACGCATACCACAGGTAAAAAAAACTATTAAGTAGCTTTCACTTGAATGGTCACACTTAAGGATTTCACCCACAGACTCAAAAAGTAGAACCTTCTTTTACAGCGTAATAACCACTACCACAGGAGAAAAACCTGTTAAGTAGCTTTCATTTGAATGGTCACACATTAGCATATAATCCACAGACTTGATAGAAACGCTTAGAGGAACACTCCGGAAAAATACCCTAAGTAAATAATGTTTAGTTAACTGTAATTAGATGGTCGTATGTTACGGCGATTTCATCAACAGAGTTAATAGAAACGCCTTATAACAGTAAAACAACATGCCTTCAAACAAACACACTAAAATGTCGTTCAATGAAAATCAAAGCTAGTCGTTGTATCGATTTTCACCTTAGCTTTGAAGAGCCTGTCGTAGATTCCATGAAGGACTGGGAAAGGGATTCCAATCTCTAACAATGTCATGAACACCCAAGTTGGGTCCCAGGCCAGCTCGGCACTTTTTTTCTCCAGCATTAGGACAATGGCGCCTAACGATATCAGCAGATCATCAAGAGTAAAGGTTATGAGAATTACTAAACTGATTACCAACGGGAAAATGTTTGATCTTAAACCAAATTCTCTCAACTATTCTTAGAAGAAATGTATGAAGATCAGTTTGGAGAATCTGTATTTAGATCTTGAAGCTGAAAGGGTTAACCCTTTAAGTCCTAAACGTGGTCAAAGTCAAAAAATTCCAAATTTCACTTTGTAAAACGCTTAAAAGCAAATAGTGGGGAGCTCAAGAAACGACGAGACGACGGCAGTGAAAACGTCGCTAAAAACTAATTTGCGTCATTTTAGACTTTATTGCGTCTATTTGGAACCACACAATTTGTAAAATGTTGGCGACTTTTCCTGGAGTTGAATTCTAACGATTTTATCCTGGTTCAAAAAGAGAAACGAAAATTCGTCGTTGTATATATTCACGTATATAAATCGTCGCATTAGGAGGTTTCACGTCGTAGTCGTGCAGTGGACGTCGACGAAATGTACTAAGAAACGTGATGTACGCGCAGAGCAGTTGTTTTCCTCATAAAACCAATTGTTGCTGTTGTGGTTGTGGTTGCTTAAGCTCCGTACTAACATATGAAAGTGCCCTAGAAGTGAAATCGGAAGGGTCACACCGCAGGATTTCCTCCAGACTCAAACGTAAGAACTACCTTGCAATACTTGTAATAAAACGGTTAATCAGTGAACAAATGTTATGACAAAAAACTAGAAATTAAATGGTTTGAAAGTGGGGAGTATCACAAGCTTCAACCGAATCAAAGTCCGTATTCCAGATAACTTAGATTGATGTTTTACGATGGCGTGACAGCATTCAGAGTCACGCATGTAACGCAACAAATGATACTTACCCAGTGGGAAGTAGCGCTCAGAGTGAACATACATTTTTCCTAGAGAAGCAATCTTTTTACTGACGATTGCCATGCGATCACTGGGAGAATTTTGCAAAGATTCTTGGAGTTCTGTTGGTAAAAAGTAATACATTACAGTGAAATATATGAAATAGTGGTGGTTAATTTGCGTGGTTTCCGAGCCCAGAAAATAATTTCGTGGATTCTTTGGTTTTCAATTTGCATTACAAATTCTATACTTTACGATGGGCTGAAAAGCCTCGAGCCAATCAGAACGAAGCTATAGATCGTTTTCACATGACGTCACGGCGGCCATATTTGTGTCCAAACCAATGAATCGGCGGCCATGTTTGTGTACAAAAAAAATCCTGTTGGAATTGAACTCTTTTCACATGTTAAAACTTTCTTTCATTCTAAGCAAATTGCAAAGCTGCTGACCACGTGAATGAAAACTATCAATACTAAAACGCTGCAGTGCTCTAACCAATTGAGCTTTAAGACCCATACATTGGGAACAGGCCAATCATTTGTTGACTTAATCTTAACCCGTGAAAGGATTTAAACACGAAATGATGATGTGAACTGCGGAAATACAAATTTATGTGACGATAGGATCGTCGCAGTGGTACTTGCAATTTAAGCAATTGCAAAGTAACCCGAAAAAACATTTCGGGACTTTAACGGGATTCAAACCCATGGCCTCTGTGTTCGCGTTGCAGTGCTCTTAAGAAGACCCATAAGTTGGGAGCAGGCAAATTTTGTCAACAAGTGTCTGTTACTCTCAGTGTTCAACATACCTCCTTCTATAATGTCTTTCCAAAGAGTTTCTATCAGTATGGGGTCATAGTGCCCAGCACAATGAACAATGGCGAGTTTACACTCAGCTAGTGCAAACACATCAGCAAAATCTCCATAAAGCTAAGGGAAAATAAGAACCAAGAAACTGATGTAAGTCAGACACGCAAAATAAGTGACTGAAATAGAAATTTGGTTCCATGTGGAACACACGTTAAGTCAGATCTTCATCAAAGAGCATATATACCAGATTGAAAAAATGTTGTTGCTAAAAAGTATAAGCCATGAGCGATGAGAATTAAAGGATTTATGGGTATACGTTCATTAACAAGGCAAATTAAAAAATCTTTCGACAAAAGTTTACATTGTTGGGAGCTGCTCGTGCGAATGTAAATCCCCAGAGTTCTTTGTTTAAGGGAATGCCGTTGTCTTGTTATGTCTTCCACGAAAGCTTTTAGGTCCTCTCTTTAAATTTTCAAGTTTGTGTTAATGATATGGCTTCGCTCTTTATCCGTACAGATCTCTTTTGTGTCCAGCACCACACGGGTGAAGTTGTGAGGTGATCGCCATGAAAACTGGACACTATTAAACTTTTTCTGCAATGCATCGTCGGTAAAAAGCTTCGACAATGTGTTCATTTTCCAGACTTTTTCCAGGTCTTGAAAATTGCTGGACAAATTTCAAGACTTTTTCAAGAATTCAAGATTCTGTACGAACCCAAGGGCGGAAACCGCCTACAAACAAGTCGTGGCTCAAGGCCTGACTTGTTTAAAAAGTGGTGCAAAATGTGTTTAGCCAACCACAAACAGTTACTGTGACCTTCCACTGAAAGCTGCTTTAAAGTTTAGGATCTAAAGATAAAAATAAGGATCTCGATCAGGCCTGGAACTAAATCTAAGACAGCCAATTACAGTCGAACCTCTATATAACGAAGTCCTCGGTGTAACGAACGAAATTCTTTATCCCAGTACAGTGGAACCTCGATATAACGAACCTCTATATAACGAAGTCCTCGGTATAACGAACGATTTTTTTTTATCCCAGTACAGTGGAACCTCGATATAACGAACCTCCATATAACGAAGTCCTCGGTATAACGAACGATATTCTTCGCCCCAGTACAGTGCAACCTCGATATAACGAAACCTCGGTGTAGCGAACAAATTTTGCCAGTCCCTCGGCCCTTTGTTCAATCGAGGCTCCACTGGAAAGAAGAGTTGAAGAACTTACCGTTGTAATATCCAGAAGGCGGGAATTCAAGACAGCTAGGGCCTGATCGATTTGTCTGGAAGGAGTAGCGGTATTTATTCTGCTAAGAGCTTCATAGACTTGCATTTGAATGCGCGCCACTTCAAGCTTCTCTTCCAGTTCATGAAGAAATTCGCCCTCACCGCTTGCAGCAGTTCTCAAATTACAGCTTTTTGCACTCATGATTGCCCGAGAAAGGTACTCTAGTCTCAGCTGTAGTTTTACTTCAGAGCTAAGGAACAGAAGTACCAGTAATTGTGAGAGGAGCAGAAGAGAAATTGTTTGAATGGAAATAAAATAATTCAGGTTTTATATCACAGAAGTTTACCTCTCTTTTTCGGAAAGCTTGGAGAGAACTCTAGCGGCCGCGGAATAGTTCTTCGTCTTTTCGTAGTATCTCCACAGTAAATCCAGGATTTTCAGTTCATTGGGAGGTTGATGTGCGGACGATCGCTTAAGGAATGTCTCCAGGAATGGAGATTTAATCTGATAACACAAAAATCGTTTTAAGAAAATTAAAACTAAAATTTTGCTCCGAGAGCCTTATCTTGGCAGAGAAGTGTGACATTCAGTGCACGTTATGGCTACATCGTAGGTTCGTCATCGTAGGTCCTCCTTCTTTTGCAGCACTGCGAGTAATATTATAGATTTCATCATCTGCTTACACTTTGTGTGCAATAGCGAGACATAACCGTCAATCTACAGCCAGTCTTAAGATTTGAGGTTCTTTCTATGACGAGGTAATTTTTGAACGCGTGACGCAATCGTTAAAGCTGGATAGCCCGTCTGCAAACGTTGCACAGCACGCTAATGTTGAAACGTGTTTCTGCGCCTTTGAAATTTGAAGGAAAAGGCTGAAAAGATAAGATTAAGAATAATGAAAACAATAACTCAGGGTTGCACCTCCAACAGTCTGTCCGTAAGTGCATTGTCGATTAACCACTGATACAACACGACATGCCACAACTCATCTCCGTAGGCTAAAGAAAACGATAACATCTCTTCCATCTAGTAAAATGACAAAACAAATGCAATACCGTCAGTCCTAGTATAAATCAAACGATAAGAGTATGCATTTTTACTAGATATAAAGCAGTTTCGACTTGTGACAACAAAAGGAGTGAATTTCACGCGAAGGTGTAACGTACCTAAAGAAAAGGGAGTAACGCCAGAATACCAGACCATTTCTTTTTTCCCTGAGTCGAGTGTAAAAAGTATCTAGGGACACTTCAGACTTTAAAAAAAGTCCTTTTCTTTCCCTTTCTGGTTGGTTGGGCCGTTTCAGTTAAAACTTCGCAAGGAAATGTTAGCTCCGCCACTGTGCCACCACACTAAAGCTTACTTCGTTTGCTTAAGAGGCTGCTTTAAAGCTCGTGGAGAACTTACACTGTATGAGAGGTCAACTAGGATCAGGTCTCTTGAGACTAAGGAGGGCGCGTAACACGTGTGGAGTTCGTGCGCTATGCGCATTCGGCAATACTTGTGAATGGCCAGTTTACATGGAGGTGTGGGACCCCAGATAGGAGGGGCAGGTCACCCCACCTATCATGTAAACATTATCAAATTAAAATGAGAGATTATATGGACAGGCGGGTTGCCTCACCTAACTGGGGTTCCCCGCCTCCATGTAAACGGGCTGTAAGACAGAAAAAGAGGGAAGGGTCTTCAGAGGTAAAAAAAAAAAAAAAAGAAAATTATGGCGCAAATCTTGACCAGCCATGCCAGCGGAGGATAGTTTTTAGGCGGACGAGGAAGGAGTGTAGTCCTTCTGATGGTTGAAGCTAATTTCCCTCGCGGCACGACAAAAACGAAGCACTACCCAGATCCCCGAAGTGACACGTCATCAGCGTGGAATGTCTGCGCTTATTCCTCAGACGTCACCTGGCGTCGCGAAATGTAGACTGTTTTCTCGGGCTGGGTGGAACTCAACATCAATATTTTGGGTGCCAGAAAATGAAGGAACGGATCAACAAATCATATAAGAAAGATTTAATACGTACATGCTTCTCTGCGTCGTGTGACGTAAGAGCATTGGGGTCTGGGGTAGGTGGTGGTCCTGGCCGGGAGGGTCTTCCAGGAGACTGGGAAGGAGCTGTTCTGACTACTAAAAGACGCTGCAAACTGTCCAGAATGCACTTGTAGCAACGTTGTCTAAAAGAAAAAAAGTTACTGAAATTAGAGACAGTGGCTTAATCTGAGGCTTTTCATTAGACCACATCAGCTGCCTCCGTTCAGTGCCATTTTAAACGCGTTTTTCAGTGTATTATTATCCTGGGTTTTCATGCGCAGTTTCCGGTTTCGGTCAAGTCTTTATAGTGAGTGACCCACGCGAAAAGCGTTTTTTTCTCAGTGGCTTTGGCTTACGACCGAGGAATCTCCACCGCACTCAATCGCTGCACGCAAAAAAAAACCCTTTCCTACACATGTTAAAGTCGTATTTGGGCTTAAGTGTGTTCTCTAGGGGACAAAACGTACCCAATATTTATCAGGGTGTTGTGTGTTGTTACGAATGTTTTTTTTTTGGTTGGGGTGGGGGGGGGGGTTGGGTACTTACCTGGCCAGAAACGCCTCCTCTCCTTGGACATCACCATGAGGTTCACCATTTCTATAAAAGTGCAGAGCCAGTCCTTGTGGATCGCACTTGACTGCAGCTTGTAAACACAAGTCCACCACACCTTCATAGAATCGCACTAATAAGAAAGCAAAAGAACATTTTCCGGAAGTTAACTGTGTAGTACCAGCAAATTCAGTGCAACCTCACCAGAATGTCAACCCATCAAGTTCAAGTTCAAGCCCACTCCAAAAATACCAAACATACCATAATGCCTTTGTTTGTGTCGTTTTAACTCCCAAGAGAAACTGAAAACAATGCTTGCAAACGGACATGCAAGCAATAAACACCATTACATTTCAAGGTTCCTTTTCAGTAGTCATCTCACCTGATTCAAAATGAGAACAAATCGCATCTAGTTTAATTTGATGGGTGACTTGTCGATAACACTAAAAGAAACAAAAACAGAAAGATTTGACAATATACTGTGTTCTTACTAGAATAACATCTTTCCTCATAATCGCCAAAATTGTCTCTTTAACGAAACAGTCGTCCTTAAAGACTGACGTGAAAAAATGCCAATGATATAAAGAGACAAAGGCTTTAAAATGCTAAAAATCATATGAACTGATCTATTTAAGAAGCATTTCTTCTGCAGAGTTTCCGGGACAGAAGGTGGGATGTACGTTTGTTGCTCTGACAGTCAAAACCCACCTGAAGCGATTCTCTTAGGATTCTTTCTTGTTCGGTTTTGTCTCTACTTCTTTTGGCCAACATTAAAAGCTCACCAGCCTAGCAACAAGGACAAAACAGATTCGAAAACCAAGACATCATAAAACCTGGTTGCAGACAATCACTTATCATTTAATCACAGCCGAAAATGTACCTTTCTGTTGACAAAAAGTGCCAAAGAGTTTCAAAGAACTCTTTTAAAGGTGTGGCTGAGCGTTTCTGATAAAATTCGCCACTTTAGAAATGAGAAAGGAACTGGAGCCGAAATGCGTCCCGCAGTTGTTTCTGGGATTGTTACTAATGATGTGCCCGTCAGCTATCGGCCAATTTTTTCTCCCTGTCCGCGGTAGCACTCCCAGAAGTCTTTGCGAAAGCTAACTCAGCACAGTTTCCCTCTCGTTTCTTAAGTGGCTTATTGGAACTTTGGGAGTGTATGTTCTAAAGTAGACGAGAAAACGGGAGTACCAGAAAAATTGGCAATTTCGAGGTTGTGCATGACACTGGACTGGTGTTGTCTCGAATTGTATCGTGGGACTGCCTGGGAAACGAATTCTCGTATAGCCAATGAAAGAAGTGATAGCATCCCCATGACAGTCCCAAGATACAATTCGATATGACACTGGCCCAGACGTTAAAACGAGGATGACAACGAGGACAAGATTTTCCTAAATAGCTACTGCGCGCGCGTGAACCAGCGTCATTTTGGCAGGAAAAAGTGATGGCCGTCGTCATTCTACTACGGGTTTAGCAACCGGGGCGAAATGACCGGTAACTCTCATGGCTAATACCTCATAGAGAAAAGTAGAGAGCTTGGTGAGAGCTCATTGGTGGGAGGCATTTTCTCTGACCAGTGAGTCAATCCTTCTTTACAAGTTTTTTTTTTAGGGGAAAAAATACAAATTGATGGTAGAGTCGATACCTTAGTTGATACTGCATCGTCACTGCTGAATAAATTTGGGCAAACATCACGTAGCCTCTCACTAATGGCATCGGTAGAGGCACTGTCATCCAGATAGCACTTTATTAAAGAATCAATAAGGGCACTGCAAATCTACACAAAGCAACAAAAGAAAACAAATTGTCGTGACAAGATAAAATTTGTACTTGTACTCACAAAATGCTGTCACTTCAAGCATTTCACTACAGGAGTCAGACGATGTTAATTTTGGACTCTCTGGATGAGACCTTCGAGTGTGAACACTCAAATGGAAGCAACTGAGCAGTACTTTCCTGTGGTACTGTTTATTATGCCGTACAAGGTGACCCCAACTTTCTAGTCAATGGATGAAATCCTATTATGTGACCATTCAGATTAAAGCTACCGACTAGTACTTTCCTGTGGTACTGTTTATTATGCCGTACAAGGTGGTTCTAACTTTTGCGTCTGTGGACGAAATCCTAAAGTGTGACCATTCAAATGAAAGCTACTGAGTAGTACCTTTACATGGTACCATTGCCTTTAAGCAAAACAAATTTACAACTTTCTTTCATCTTTTATGTTTGGCCACATTGGAAGGAAAAGAAACAACCAAGCTACTTACCTCTTGCCCAGTGGTTATTAGGTCTCTGAATTTGATGTGCTTTAGGCGATCCCTTATTACCTGAAAATAACCATGAAGTTTTCCTCATTAAGCGAACACTACTATTATTATTACAATAATAATCACATTTTGTTGAAACAGTAGATGAAAGCTGAGGATTTTTATTTGTCACACCTTCTCGTGTCGACCAAAAAATAGCTTTCGAACCGATAATCAAATAAGAGGTTTGAAAAATTGTTTGTCAAAAGGTGTGTGGGTAGGGAGGGTGGCGGTGAGAAGGGGATTTTGTGTTCTGAGGCAAATATCGAAAACAATCAAGACAATGACAAACATTCCAAAACTTAGCCACAGCCAAAATGCATAAAGAAGCTTAAGAAAAGGTGTGAATTTTTGGGGGAAGCCATTCCACGCATTACAAAGGGGGTTCTCACGCTCTCCGTGTTTCTTTACTAATCTGGCTTTGAACAAGTTACTGGTTATACCATGAAGAAAAGGGGATAGTTGCAAAAATTATTGCATATAATCTTAAATTGCTATATAACACTTTCAAGTTTCATCTTACCGGTTCAAGGTGAAGTATGACCTCCTCAAAGTTGTGCTCATTAAGAACTTGCCAGAGGTGCAGTGTCTCAATTGACCGGTCAATTAATGACTTGAAGTTAATCAAGAAGTTCTTTTCGGCCACAAATGCTTCTGCTGATGCTAAAGAAGAAGAAAAAATTGCCATAACTCAACTGACTGAAATCATCGGTGAAACGTCAATTTAAGCATTCTAAGGAGCAGTTGCTATAACAGATCAGAATACTTCTTAGTTTTGGCTGTGTCCTTATTTTGGTTACCTTGACTCAAGATTTTCTTTCCCAGTCTGCAACATGGAATGGCTACAATGCATGCAGGACCCACGGCCTATCTCATAATAATAATTACTGTACCATTTAATTTAAAATTTGTTGGAACCTTACTAGGTTTCAACTCATTGTGCACCTGCAAGCTTTCGTCATGCCACCAAACCCCAAATCTGTTTTTATGTTTGTTTGCCAAAATCATCCGAAGAATAACATGGCTCTTCTGCACATAAAAGCTTCCTCACATAAGCTCAAGTACCGCTTAGCATTATATTAAATCATCTTGACTCAGTATTTTAAAACTATTTTCACTCCCAGTTTTTCACATGGCTTTATGGTGTGGTACAGCACTGCTATGCAGAACCTTTTGCTTTTGAGTATTTTACAAAATGAGCATCAGACAAAGACATGGTGCTATCCACAGTCACTAACCTTGATGTGTTTGTTGAAGGAGTGACTGCCCACTGGCCATTGTTACTCTGGGAAAACTTTGTGAAAGAAAAAAAACACGGTTTTCAGAAAGATTCATACAGCTCTCACTAACTTGACTTAAATCTGGGCGAGCTACATACATACACCCAGAAAAAATCTCTGTGAGCAGAGGAAAGAACCCACAATCAATCTAAACATGGCATGAACATTTACTAACAGCTCCTCGATAATTCAAGAACTAAGGAGCAGACTTTTTCTACAAATAACAACGTTCTTTTTAATGTATTGCTTATTTTGATAAAAACTATTTTGCTAATCGAAAAAGAGAGACAGTCATGAAGTCTGCCTAAGTCTGTCCCTTGAAAAATTTACTTCATCACTTGCAATCCATGTTATAGGGTACTACTTCTTTGGTATTTTCACATTGTACCAAACTAATCTTCAATTTCAAAATAAGTTTGGATGTTCCACAAATAATTTGTGATGAATTGTACCACAGCTCGTTTGGGTTCTGCTGCCCTTAACAAAATAAAATGAAACTGAAAAAAAGTTGTGATTCACACCCTGCATCCAAATGGGGCAGCATAAACTGCATATTCTGTTCCATCCATGTTTGAAGTTGTCGTAATCTTTCCAAAATCCACCCTAACTGGAATACACTGAGCAAACTCCTTAACACAGGAGTGAGCTAAAAAACAAGAACGAATCAAAATTAAGGGTAAATCTCATTATAAAACAAGCTGGTGTTTTCTTCACATTATGATACAGTGAAACCCGTGTCAACACTTTACTCTTAATAGTGGCCAATGCAAAACATTCACAAAAAAAATAAATTTGAATTTTCTGTTTGTAAAATCCACACAAAAGTTCTGCTATGGTAGGCTTCCTTTGAATGTTGACATCACTGGATTTCGTATAGATCTAAACGTTAGAGAGACAAATCATCATGCCATTTCAGTGGGAGGGTTACATGGACCCTGTATTAAGAAGGCGACTTGTACTACCACTATTTTCTCAGCAATCAACACTGCTTGGAAACAGATTTCCGTTGAAAATCAAAAGGTTCACATACACCCCAATTGCCACCAATCTTTGCCATCTGGATTGATGGAAATCAACTGCCAAGTGGTTTTGATTTTGAAGGCAGTACTGCCGTGAAAATAATGGCAAGCAGCCTTAGTAAGCCCCAAACATTTCTTCCTATATTTTCTATAAAACAAGCTGTATTATATAAAGTACTCAGCAGCAGACACTAGTGAAGTCCAATGGGTGTCTACAATCTTGTTGCAATTTTTTACCGTAGCCTATGTATGAAACAACACATGTTTGAAGAAACAAAGATTGACAGAGTGATATGCAGTAAAAGGAGTTTCAAACCTGTTGTGATTGTGAAGGAAGAGGCATGAAAAAATCCTCAAACACAAGTCTTCCATCCCAGAAAGTTCTATAAAACAAAGGATGATTAAAAAAAAGAAACTATGTTAGAATATTGGAAAACCTAAGAATTAGATACATCTTAGAAGCCATCAAATCAATTTGTAAAACAGTATCAAATACATACTCTAAAATTCTTGCAAAGTAAAGACACAGTCCATCATGCTTGCTTGATCTTGTTAACTCAGGTCTCACTACAGCTTGTCCCATGCCAGCCTGATGAGGTGTTGAAGTCACAAAACCAGGACTGTCAACACCTGGTCTGGTTATGTAACTGCCTGTCAGGTTCCCCCCTGAAATGGGACTCCCTGGACTTGTTACAGGGGGGTGCACTCCTGAAGGGTTCCCGGGTGAAGGAAGGTGAGAATCGCCTCCATATTTGAAGAAAGCTCTTGTAGCCCATTCAGCAACCTGGAATCAGTATAGCAAAGCATTATCCAAAAGCAGCATTTCATTATTGTCTGTATCATCTTCAGTTGATAACTTTATTTTCTTCAGACACCAAGGTTTTAGCCAGAAGGCTGTCCAGCCATCCTATGGACGCCCATTTTTGGAAGAAATACAAGGAAAATTCACCTAATCTCTCATACGTTTACGGGAAAACGTGAATTCTGGACGGCCAGTTTTCAATGTCTGGCTAAAAGCCTGTCAGACACTCCAGATGACTATAAACTAGCTTTCAGTGCTATCACTGAGGGCCGTAACCCATAACACTCATTACAGCTGAGTTCCCTTGATGTTAAGGGTGATTGAAGGGGAAAACTAAAGTGACACTATACATTTTCAAGAGATGTTACGGCCAAATCTGCATTTGTGACAGCTGCTCCTCTAAGTAGACAAAATTCTGGCCAAACAATCACCATCACCCTAATCAACAAAATTATCCACAACAATCCATACAGTGATCATGATCACCTGGACACATTTTTCACAATTTAGGGGTTGGGACAAAATGGAAGCCACGCTTTAATCTTAAGTGCTGTTAAGCACAAGACTATTTGACTCACTTGTTGTTGGGTTGCTGTTGCACCACAGGCCAAAACAAGACAAGTTGCACATGCCTGGTCTTCCTGTTCAATGGCAAGACAAAAGATCTATATTAACCATTTTCACATTGCCTTTAATAAACCATATTTTCATATTGCACCATCAAGTTCCATAAATAAGAACAAGAAAATAATCAATAAACAAAAACAAAAAATCATTCCCCTCCCTTGCATCTTTTTTACCTTGTGAAGCTTGAAGAAAGCTTGAACAGCATCAGAATCAAATCCCTGACTGTGCAATAACAACTGACAAAGCTGCTCAACGGGGCGATAAGTTGTAAAAAGGTAGCTTCCCTGATGATACAGCAATCATAAAGATCAGGTGGTGACAAAGATGCAACTGGTAAATTACAAGCAGGACAACCGGGACAACTGGGAAACCAGGACAACCTGGGGCATCCATTTACGAAAAAAAACCGGAAAAACAGGACAACCAGGTAGCAAAGTGGAATTTCCGGACAACCGGTAAAAGTTGTTCCATTTGGACAACTGGGACAACTCCGACAACTGGGACAACCAGGACAACCGTGGACCTGGAACTGGGACAAACTACAAGAAACCGGACAATGGAACCACGACATAATCTGTTCGGAAATTCCAGGACAACGGGAAACTGGGACCACCTTTTTAGATTTTCAACACAACTGGGAATTTTCCAGTGGGACAACCAGGAACCAACTGGGACAACCAGGACAACTGGGACAACTGTTCCATTTACAACCGGGACAACTGGGACAACCAGGACAACCGGGACAACTGGGACAACCAGGACAACCGGGACAACTGGGACAACCAGGACAACCGGGACAACCGGGACAACCAGGACAACCGGGACAACTGGGACAACCAGGACAACTGGGACAACCAGGACAACAAGGACAACTGGGACAACCAGGACAACTGGGACAACTAGGACAACCAGGACAACTGGGACAACCAGGACAACTGGGACAACCAGGACAACCGGGACAACCAGGACAACTGGGACAACCGGGACAACCAGGACAACTGGGACAACCAGGACAACCAGGACAACTGGGACAACCAGGACAACTGGGACAACCAGGACAACCGGGACAACCGGGACAACCAGGACAACTGGGACAACCAGGACAACCAGGACAACTGGGACAACCAGGACAACTGGGACAACTGGGACAACCAGGACAACTGGGACAACCGGGACAACCAGGACAACTGGGACAACCAGGACAACCAGGACAACTGGGACAACTGGGACAACCGGGACAACTGGGACAACCAGGACAACTGGGACAACTGGGACAACCAGGACAACCAGGACAACTGGGACAACCGGGACAACCAGGACAACTGGGACAACCAGGACAACCAGGACAACTGGGACAACTGGGACAACCAGGACAACCGGGACAACTGGGACAACCAGGACAACCGGGACAACTGGGACAACCGGGACAACCGGGACAACTGGGACAACCAGGACAACTGGGACAACCAGGACAACCAGGACAACTGGGACAACTGGGACAACTGGGACAACCAGGACAACTGGGACAACTGGGACAACCAGGACAACTGGGACAACCGGGACAACCAGGACAACTGGGACAACCGGGACAACCGGGACAACTGGGACAACCGGGACAACCAGGACAACTGGGACAACCAGGACAACTGGGACAACCAGGACAACTGGGACAACCAGGACAACTGGGACAACTGGGACAACCAGGACAACTGGGACAACCAGGACAACTGGGACAACTGGGACAACTGGGACAACCAGGACAACTGGGACAACTGGGACAACCAGGACAACCGGGACAACCAGGACAACTGGGACAACTGGGACAACCAGGACAACTGGGACAACTGGGACAACCAGGACAACTGGGACAACCGGGAAAACTGGGACAACCAGGACAGCTGGGACAAAGGAGACAACTGGGACAGCCAGGACAACTGGGACAACCAGGAAAAATAAATGGCTGCACGACTCCAAAACTCACCTGCGCACTGAGAGCCACAAAGGACCTCTGACAGGAAGCATGTTGTCTGATGACAGCAGGTGGATCTGGCCATCTGTCGCTTTGTATGGGACAGTCACTTGTCACGTTGCCCCCAAATCCAGGTACCTCACTTAAAGACCAAGTTCTACCCTCCATTGGTACATTTACCTAACACAAAATATCACAACTGTTAATAAAGTCACATCAGGTCCTAACCAATCAGAGCACAGGATGATGATGACATCATCAATAACAGATTATGCATACCGTAACTCAAAGTAATGTCCCAGCAAGCTACATGTACCTTAAAATGCTCCTATTGTAGGTGCTTGCAGAAATATGGAAAATTCTACTTTTCATACCCTTGAATTATACTAGAGTACATTTCTTTGGCAGCATTTCAGGTTAAGAATAAAATGGAATCAAAATCTAAATGTAGAAATTGCCCATAGAGAACCAGATATAGAATGCCCACAATTTAATGCGTCAGTAATCTAGAGGCTCCAAAATTTGAAAAAGGAGATTTTTTAACAGTCTTTCACTCCCAGAATAAAACATAAAGTATTCTACTGAAAGACCACCTTTTCAATTTGTGGATGAAATCCTATGGTGTGAACATTCAAACAAAACCCCTATGCTGCTCTTTCAAAAGGTACTAGTTGTTTCCAGGATTTTGCAAAGTAATTTTTTTTTTTATTTTGGAAATTTTGATAATTTCTGACTTCTGACCACTTTTGCGAGTAAACAGGTAACTTATTTTAAAATGTTCTCAATAAAACATACCCTTATGCTAGAACAATGCTATCCAAATGTACCATGAAATAAGAATTAAAATCCAGAATACCATCAAATCATGCAAACGGTAGTTCTTAAAATTTATTGATACCTGCATCTCTTTAAGTGGAGACTGGAAAGGAAATGGATCAGGACTGATTCCCCAGAGGATATCCATCTCTTCTGTTTGAGACGAAGCTAGCAATGAAATGCCTGAAAAAGACAATCATCAATGTTATTTTATCATTATCTACAAATTAGCTTGAAATTGAAAGAAACCTCCCAAGAATAACATTAAAGAGGTACATGTAATGTAGCTACTGTAACTTCCAAAAGTAAGGATGGTTTTGGATGGAGATGATTAATGCCTCAAATGCTTACTATAAACAACAACTTTGAAAAATTCAGGCTTAATTTTCGAAGATGCAAAAACAGTAACATGACTCCTTTAAATCAAATGAGAGCTATAATATATTTTCAGTCATAAATTCACAGGGATAAAATTCCCCATAACGCTTAAGCTTTTAATATGTCATTGCAAATATTATTAAATTACCTATCAACAACCCAGTCCTAGCAACATACAGTCAACTCTTTCTTGATAGACACCTCTATAAAAGGACACCAATAGTCCCTGCCTTTCTTTACATCTTTGAGGGACACATAGTGCCAATCTAAAAGGTGTCTGTCTCAGGGGGAGTTGATCGTAGGATATTTATCACATGAACTTAGTTTGATGGTTATAGCTCCCATTAGTCCTATGTAGCTCAGCAGTAAAGCATCTGGACAAGTACAGGGCGTGAAAAATCACTTGAATTCCAGCAAGAAGCTCTCACATTTAGCTTGTGCGAGGCTGCTTCTTGCCTATATGCTAATGATTTTATTAGAGAGTTGGACTTGACCCTTTTCCATCAGGCAAGTAAACTTTTAAAAGTTAAATGCCCGGCAAGATGATCGGCTAGTCTTGGACTATCGGACAGGATTTTTTTCGAGCCATGTAGTCACCAGCAAGTCATAAGTTTGACTTCTGTTAGAGGACTCTGATTCTTTTTCCTCCCTTGCCTGAGTCACTCACTAAAAGAAGATCATTCTCAACTTGAGAGCAAGTCATGCCTTGACAAAATCAGTATGTTTGCAAAGCACCTTGTCTGTAGAAGGCTGCATGTACTTGAGATGGTCTCTGTGAGGTTGCTGATGGTGCAAACCCTGGCGGCAGTCTGGCGTGAACAAGCTGTAGTTTACTTGGTCTCTCTAATGGAGCCCTTACATTTGTTGTACTAAAGTAAAGGCGCACACCTGGTCAAGAAACAAAGTTGGGTGAATAAACAAATAAAATAACGATTTAGAAGTGGCACATTTACTAAGTGGTCCTTCATCTACCTGATTCCTGGTCGAATTGGAATTTGGAAGTGTTGGTTTTTGAGGAGAGGGTAAAACAGGAGTATCCGAAGAAAAACCTCTCGGAGCAAAGGAGAGAACCAGCAACAAACTCAACCCACATATGGCGTCATTACTCAAGGATGAAGCCCTAAATGATGTTTGTCTCGTTGATTTGCAAGCATATCAAGGAAGAACTAAAAGAAAAATCTGACTGTAGTTCATTAAAAGACACTTAAAGGAGATGTGTCACAAAATTTATCACAAATATTCAAACCATGAGAAGTGCCACCAAACTGAGTGAAACATAAATAAAAATATCTATCTGCCCAAACATGAAAAGAAACAAGGTATAAAATAATAATACAGCAAATACAAAAAAGATGAAAAGATGGACGAAGTTAAAGAAGATTGTATTGGATTGCTATTGTGGTGTTTGAAAACTTGTAAGCCTAATAGTTTTATGTTTGTAATGTTTGATAAAATGCATTGGAGACATACTTGTTTGACACCAAGCTGTGATGCTGTGATTTTGACAACGTAAGTTTATATTTCTCAAGTTTCACAGTGATTAATGACACATACAATTGGGATTATTAACAAAATGAACTAGAGAACACGCGACAGAGCCTGATTAAAATACATGTAGTGATTCATCCGGTAGGCACCCCTAACAAGGCTTCTTTCCCTTACCTGCTTGGGTGATTCCAACTAGATGGACAGTTTTGGATTCATTCCTTGGAATTGGTGCAATGTGAATAATTGGTCTAAAATTATTGGAATCAATAGTTCTGAAAATGAAAACAACAAAAATATGTTGTTACATGTAACCTTTTGGTAGGAAACATGGGTAAGCAGCCAATTCAGGAAGAAGAGATCTTTACACAGGTTCCTCAGCAGGAATTCTGACCAATCATGTTACTACAAAAAACCGACTAGCATTCTGAGGAAAAATCTACTGCTAATTTTGCTACTTTGCTTCTCCCATTCTGCAGTGAATTTCTCTCTTTCCTGGAAAGTCAGCCCACATACGAAAGAAAAACAAGATAATGTTGGAAACAAACCTAGAGATAAAAAAAGAAAGGCAGAGGGAAGAAAGAGAGTATGAAAAAGGATTGGTGGCCACCAAAGGGTAAAATGACATTAAAGTATAAAATACTTCTACCTAGCAGTTGATGCTGCTCTTTGTGTGATTCTGTCCTGAGTGAGGGAAGCCACATACGACATGCCCTTTCCATCAGCACCAAGATCAAAAACCTGTGGGAATTCAGTAACAATCAATATTTATCACTGTCCCATAAATTTTGGAGATTTTTTGCAGTGCACTAAATAGTCTCTTGACGTTGAGATCTGTCAAATGCATATATTACAGGTCAAAATTTTTTAAATTTTTTTGTAAAATCTTTCAATCTAGGTTTATTGTCATTTTTCTTAGACTCCTAGCCCTGATTATTCATGAATAACTAGGATAAGACAAATTTAACCAGAATTTAATTTTGACCTATCATTTTGATGAAAAGGCCAAATTCAAGCCTGATTTACTTTTAACTTTTTTTTTGGTCAGCAAGATCATTTGCCTCATAATAACCAGAAAATGTGATGATGCTCTTCTCTCAGGCTGCACTGAAAAACAAGTTTCAATGTCTTGTGAACAAGCATTTTTACCTTCAGCTACACCTCTGTGATCTTACACCTTACCATGACCAGAGTTAACTGAAACAACTTTCAAACACACAAAAAATTTATTACCTGAATTGTTCCTTTCTCTGATCGAGAATAAAGAATGTTTCTTGTGTTGTCAACAGCCAGTTGAACAATGGGATCTGAATCAACATAAAAACAAACAAACAAACAAACAATATTCTACCTTACAGAAAAATGTCTTGCAAACATTTTTAATAAGTATTCAAGAGGTATATGGTATCTATGTGCAGGTAAAGGGACTGAAAGAAAGTCCCACCTGGAGTCAACTGCGACAAGTCAATTTTCCTTCTAGGCAAGCAATTTTTCATGCTCAATAATTATTATTGCTTGATGGGTCAGGGTCATCTTCTAACTAAATCATAAAGTCAAACAAGCACAGGGATGTAGCTAAGGCAAAGCTGAGCAGTTTCTTTTGGTCAGTCAAGCCAGCTTTTTCACTGAACAGTTCCTTCAAAATTTCCCCATGCCTTTGTTTTCCAGATTAATTTGAGCCGCTGATCAGCTCTTTTTCAGCACAGCTGGCTGTGGGCTCTTAGGGAAATTCCTGCAAACATGCAACAACCCCAGGTAAACAAAATGTTAAAACACTACTTTCTTTGTCTTTGTCTTTGTCTTATGGCAACCACATGTAGGAACAGTTAACAGGGGAAGAGGGCCAATTGACTATATCAACAACATCAAAAGAGACAACAGTCTTGACAATATCAGGAAATCTGGTCAGCAATACCGGATAGAAATGTGTGGGATGATTGTCTCATGGAGACTTGATCGGGAGATCAGATTAAGTAGGCACATATTTGATTTCCAAGAGACAAGGAACAGAGCCTTCTCCGACATTGACACATTTAGGGAGTGCGGGATGCCCAAAGGGCACTCGTCCGTCTTAGAGAAAAAAGAGAACTTCAATGTATATTTCAACATCAAAGGGACGATGGTCTATTACATCCAAACACGGCATGACAATCCTTTTTCCCGTGGCAATCTTTTTTTAGGAAAACTTAAAGAAAAACTGACCTGAAAAGCATGCGTAAATACTGATGCGAGTATATCGGATAGTGCTCATGCCCCCTGGGCATCCCATAATACTCCCTACATCCAGTTAATTCAATATGGCCGCCGTATCGGTAAAAGGGTCTATTCAAGTTATTTCCAAGCCCTAATGTACAGGTACCAATAATTACTTAATTGTACATACCCTCTCCACTAAATGTGGCATTCAAAAATGATGGCACGAGAAAAGAAAACGCTCCTGATGAGTGGTTCACCTTGCGGCATCTCCTTTGAAACCAACTATCAGCTGCCTGTTAAGAATAAAAGCCAAGTATACCCAATTACTTTTAGTACAACCACAAAAATTCCCTCATTTTGGAAATGAGTTGGGAAATTTATTGAAGGGGTGCGTGGGAAAAGTCCCTGACTCTTGAGATAACGTGACATTCTGCTTCTTCACTATTCATTCTTATATTCTTGTTTGTTTACTGTTTTAGTTTTTTTTTTGTTTGTTTGTGATCAGTCACTTCAATGTCAAAAAAACTTGCTGTGAGATGAGGGTCTCTGTTACGTGGAGGCATTTTTTATGTTTAAGGGTTCAGAATTTCCATCTTTTACACCTAACAGCTAAGCCTTTCGGCTGTTTTATGGCAAAGAGCTAACCCCAATGAGACCCCCTAGGGCTAGGTCCATAGTGCATGAGATAAACAGAGTAAAAAAATAGCCAGTGATTAACATAAAATTTTAAGGGAAACATCAGAGACACCATTGCACATGGAGATTACATTACCTGATAAACTATCTCATATACACAACCATCTTTTCCTCCAAGAAAAATCCTTCCTAAATGAGTTCCAGTCATGCAAGTCAAGTAAATGTTATCAGATGGAATCGAAAACAGCGGATCTGGTTGAAGATGCATCTCAGCAAATTCATCATGGTTATAATTTCCTGGCAGAATTTGAAAAAAAATTGTAATGAGAAGTTATTGAGATAGAGTCAGATACGCTATTCAAATCTGCTGGCTACTTCAATTTTTATTGAAACCCCTGAATAAGGAAAAAACAAGGAAACACACATCCCATAACGTGCACCATATGTACATGTACATCCCTGATTTATGTTGATGGTAAAATCCAATCTCAGGTTAAACCAGAATTTCCATTATTCGCTATGAGTAATTACGGCTACAAGACAAAGAAATTTTTAACACAAGCCCAGCATTAGCTCAGTCGGTGGAGCGCTTGACTGCAGAGCGGGAGGTCGAGGGTTCGTTTTCCGGGGCTGGACCAATACTCAGGGTCTAAAAATAACTGAGGAATGAAGGTACTCCCTTTGCACTGCAAGCGGCTTGACCTTGGCGGGGTCCGCGTGACCACATAAAATAGCGGTCCCGTCTCTTAGGAGACGTAAAATATAGTGTCCCCAATTAGCACTTTCGTGCTAAATACATTGACACTCAAATCAAGTGCTTTTTTTAATACTGGTTTAAGATGAAAAAGGATTTTACCTAAAACATACTGTAGAATAACCAGGGCTGCAAATAACGGCCGGTCAACGGACAATGTCCGGCCTGATCGCGGACTTGACCGGTCAAACTCCGGTCTTGCCGGTCATTTTGACCGGTCATTTTTGGATACAAACACTTTATTTTCCATACAGTTGTCGCTTAATGCTTTATAACGCTGCAATGATTTCTTTTTTCTTTGGCGTTTTTTGCTGCTTCGCACTAAACCCTTCTAAGAAAAAGAACGCCGCAATAAATTAATTTCATGTCATCATGTCGTAATCTAACGCAACAAAGCGAATAACAAACTGAGTTGGAAAGTAACGCAACGTTGCAAGTCATACTGTACTTTCGGCTTTGCTGTAATCAGCAATGTGACCTTTGGGAATTCGAAGGAATTCAGGCAAATCGATCGCAATTCTCAACAGGTCGTCCTGTGTTTCTCCGGGAATAAATGTTAGCACATCGATTAATAATAATTTCTTTTACGTCGAACATGAATCTCGTTTGCAGACTCGATTCCAGAATGGTCTGATAAAAATTTAAGCTACTCAAGAGGGAAGGTCGTCGTCTATCGCGGCGCTAGATTCTCGTTCTCGTAAACAACTTTATGCAAATTTCATTTGACATTTGAGCCCTTCGCGATAAAATGTTGCGCGATGACCCAAATTTATTTATTGACTTCTGATCATCAACACGCTGTTTGTGGAACAAATGCAAATGCAAATGCCAATGCAAATCAACTTCTTTGCCGAAAATATCAGCGACGATTCTTCTTCGAGGAAGTGACTTTCGATCACGTGCCAGGCAAGGAAAAAGATCAAGTTTCACCGATGTTCATTTCGGAACATCAACGTAAAACAAACGTGTGCAGATTTTGTAAAATAACCCAATTTTTTCTTTTTTTCGTAATTTCTAAAGTTTGCTGAACTGTATGTGTATTCCGTTTCCTGAACCTTGGGAGTTCGAAAAGGATTTACGCTTCACTTTTTACCTCTAGAGACTTCAGACGCCGCCGTGCAATGATACTCAAGGTAGAACGTAACATTAAAACGCGCGAAAACCACGGAAAGGAACTCTACAATGTGCGAATGCATTTTTCACCAATTTGCTGTCAAAAATGTGAACGTCAATGTAGTAATAACGATCTATTGCCAGCATAATTGGATATTCCTTAGGCAAAAAAAAATTATTAGTATTCATTATTTGACCGGCCAGAATCGGGGTTTGTCTGGGCTCAAAAATATTTGGCCGGTCATCATGACTGGCAACCTGCTGTCCGTTATTTGCAGCCCTGATAACCACAAAAAATTGCCTGCAGTGATAATATTCAAGTACAACAAACAAAACTTGACAATACCTAATTTCTTTGGTGTAAATGTCACAGCAAGAAGCACAATGTCAATTGGTGTAGTGAGACACAAGATGTACCGAACTGATTCCCTGAGGATTTCTGTACACATAGGAATTAACATACACCATTATCAATTTTGCCAAAATATAAAGGGCTAAAAAAAATGAGGTGTAGATGCACTAATTTGCGTATGTCAGTGAAAACAGAGGAGTCACATCATTTTACCTTCATCCTTTGAGTCTGTGGACAAAATCCTTTGATGTGATCGTTCAAATGAGACCTCAATCTTTGGGAGCACATTAATTTTGCATTGTGGTTTGGGTGTGACAGGTTAGTTTGTACCGATTGGTCATAATCATGTGATGGTGTCAGTTGGCTGTGCCCAGCCATTATACGTAGCAATGTGTGCATGTTAGCAATTGGCGCATTTCAGTCAAGAGTTAAAAAATGCTACCATCAATATCAGTGGTAACCAAGCTGTCCACAAAGCTAGAAAAGCAAACTTTTTTGATACTTTTTTGATATTATTTTCTCAAAATCAAAGTTCTCCTTTAAATACGTCGGCTGTACTTTTCATAAACCTAAACAGGCCAGCAAAACTGAAACACACCTGGTTTAGGTTTCACCAATCCAGCACACAGAATAGTTTCACTCAAGCCATCAAAATATGCCAAGTCACTCCTGAAATTAGGAACAAAAACATGCTTTTGTTTGAACATCGGTAATAATTGAATGCCAAACCAAGCTTAGGAATTCACAGCTTACCCATCTTCATAATTCCAGACAAAGATATCACTATCAATAGTTAGCCAAGCTCGTCTGATCTCAGGAAACAATCCCATCATACAGTTACATTGCATGTCTGTTAATGAGGATGTCAAGGTGCTATAACAACGAGACCAACAGTAATTCGGCAAGATAGAGTGAATCATGTGTTCTAATTGGTTTGTCTTATCTTGCCAAGTTTTGTTCCCCACAGGAAATATAGTTCCTTTATTGACCAAAAATTTGTGCAAGAAGATTAAGATTAGCTGGCCATTGTGCTTGTCACAATGAAGAGACTGCTTCAAAAGTACTGCTTTGGCAACCCCAACATGGTCAACATACATTGACACCATTAAAGCTGACACTGGACTGGACAATACCAAAAAAAGAAAAGATGCAATGCTTGATCAGGTTGTGTGCAAGGATTTTATTAGGACGGCGCAGGATGATTCCTGGCCTAAGTAAGCAAGTTATTGACCAAGCGTGTTTGGTCAAGACGGCCAGAAGGTAATTGGCTTTTGTTCTTTTTCCTAGCCCTTGACTTCATCTTCGTCCATAAAAATGTAGAAAAAGAACTGAGTCAATACCTATCAATCTTGACCTTGTACTAACTTGGTCAATAAGCTTAATACCTGAATTTGTGTACTCCCTTGAATGAATGCCTTCTTCCAATACAATAACCATCAAATACAGGCAAAAATCTTAATTATTGAAAATGTAAAACATCTCTAAGTTTTTAATTAGAACAGTTTCCCTCACTCTTTTTCAGTTCACAAATTCAATCTGACTGCTCTCCTACACCATCTATTTTTTGTAATTACACGTACATATTGAAGATCATATAAAAGGATACGATCAAACTGCTCCACTAATTCTCCAGGAAGAGGAACCCGTTTAAGGAGACTGACAAGTTCCATACCCGCCAAACCAACAGATGGTGAGGATAGGGCAGGGTAGTCATAATCATTGATTCCACTGAAGGTTGTAAAGGCTAAAATCATGGGTAGAAAGAAAAGAATAAAGGCAATATTACTTTAGATTATATGCTCTAAAACAGAAGGGATAGATTTTGCATGTCACTTAAAAGCTTGCACGCTCCTTAAATAATTATTACAATTATTGTACAAAATATCGTTGTAGGTAAAAAAACCAATCTAGATTTTCTGAAGTAAAAATAGTAAAAAGTAATCATTATGGAATATTATCATTATTCCATCCTTTGTACAGGGCTTGAGAGGGGTAATGAAACTAAAACAACTGGATATCAAATATTACAGGCACTTACCAAAAGTCAGAACAAACCAGCTTAACCCATCCTTTTGAAAAAAAAATGGACCTTTCTCAAGAGTTTTCTTTAAAAACTTATCGGGACAGATCTGGCTCGACTGTCCTGGTCAGTTGTGAAATTCTCTTTAATTGGGTAGACACATTGAATTCTGCAATCTGATCTTACTACTGTAATTGAAAATAACTTTGCAAGACACAGACATGACACCGATAGAACCCAAAACAGAGTGCATTTCTGGACATCAAACGGCTACAACCCCACTTTGTTTTGGGTTCTATTGGTACGATTAGCATTGCAGAATTAAAAGTGTCCACTTGGTATATTTTTGCTGATCACCTAGGTCTTCTTTAGATCCCACGTTCAACGTTGTATTCATTTTTAATGTTCACTAAACTGGACTGGTTTGGCTTGCCAGTTGAGACTAATACAATGAGCACCCTAAGAATCATAATGGTTGGGAATAACTTTTTGCTTTCTTTAATTTGGATCTCCATGTGATTGGTTACCCCCCTCCCCACCCCATCAAAGAAATAACTTCCAAAATATCATGGCAATGGGTGTGGGGAGGAGGTTGCAGGGTTTGCAAATTTTATTGATGAGTGGAGTCAGTGTGACTTCTGCTTCACAAATTTTGGAGTCATTATGGAATATTTGGAGTCAAGTATCACAACGAAAAAAGCCATTTTCAGACTTTCCAGCACGTGGTCCTGGCATGTATACACTATCGTGAGGGATACACGAAGTAGCTGTGGCGGTCTGCTGACTCAAATCCATGATGGCGCTCATCGAGTAAACTTTGATCGTAATTTACCCTCTGCCTGTTTTGTCGTGCAGTATAATTCTTTAATTGCGATGATTTAATTGAGGTTTACAACGTTTACAATTAACGTGAATTGTATTTGTTGTGAAAAAGGTAAGGACAAAACTCTGCTTGTTACCGCAAATTTCTGGAGTCGAAGTGGATCCCTGTTTGTTACCGAAAATTTCTGGAGTCGAAGTGACTCCCTCCGTAACCTCAGTGGAGTCATTTGAACAATTTTGGCGTAAAATACGCCAAATTTGGCGTATTTGCGAACCCTGAGGTTGGAAGTTAAATTGAATGGAGAACAAACGAAAATTCACTGACATGGAAGGTTAAAGTCTGCTTATTTTGTCTGATATATGGTTATAGCATTTTCAGATTCAGAAAAATTTGTAAGAGCAACAATATCCATCTGTAGTCTGTCCACTTAAAATACTAATTAAATCAACAAATATTGATGTTCTACTAGTTAGGATATGCAGCTATGAAAAGTTTCTACAGTTGACTCCCAAAAACTTGAACCTCCCTAACTGGAACCAAAATCGATTTCCCCTGGATTTCCATCATACATTTACAGTTGACTCCCGATAATTCGCACCTTCAAGGGAAATAGAAGAAAGTTTGAGTTGTCGCGAGTTCGAGTTATCAAGGGTTAAATTATATAGAAAACAATTTAATGGGAAATAATGAAAATTGCTTCAAGTTAGCGGGAGGTTCAAGTTATAGAGGCTTCGGGTTACCAGGAGTCGACTGTACTGTAATTTTACCCTCGGTAACTCGAACCCTCAATAACTCGAACCTTCTGCCAACTCAAACCTACTGCTAACTCGAAGTAATTTTTGTTTCCCCTGAAATCATTTTTATATAATTTTACCCTTGATAACTCAGACCATGTTTTGAGCTTTTAAATAGGCGGGAAAAAGCATTGTACTGGCATCCAAAACATTGAATTGTAGGCATATAATTTACTAGTGGAGGCTGATGTTGTTTGTCACAAATCTAACGTGACACAGCTTTACTTCTCAAAACAGTAAAACGCATGCTCTATTTAGGCAATGATTTGTTACGTTACGTTACGTTCTGATTTAGAAGTATCTTTTAATTTTCACTTAACATTTCTACAATGAAATGTGATTAAAGTGTTCACTGTACTGGAAAAAACTGTTTTTTTCCTTACTCCCGGCTATTTTCTTCGAGCTCCCGATGACTCGAACTTCTTTCGATTGCCCTTGAACGTTCCAGTTATCGGGAGTCGACTGTAATTATAAAATAAAGGAGCAAAACTGCTCCAGGAAATAAGGCAAGTAGTTTACCCTGGGAAGCGTTAATCTGTTCTGCCAGCTCAGGGTACTGTCTGTCAGCCTGAAGTTGTCGATCCACTTCCCTTGCAGCATTTTCAAGCCCTTCGGGAGTCACAAGCGAACTCAGAGCACTTGTTCCTACTGCTACAGGCATGTCTGAGTTTTCAAAACAACGTCAATAACTTTAAAAAACAATAATTTGGATCATTTTCCTAACTCACACATGGCGACCGCCATTTTCGAAGAAGGCGCGCGAGAACAGTGCGCACAATCGGAAGTGATCCGAGCTAATTAGCCGAAAATAACCGATCGGTTGCCGAAAAAATTACTCCCCAGCGAGGGGTCCCCCAGGGAGGTTCACGCCATACACCTCTTTCATGCACTATGGAAGACCCAGCTGAAATATTTACCAACTCACGTGCGCTTTATTTAGAAATTTATTATAAATCGAATAATTCATACACCGAGAGAAAAAGATAGCGTACATCTCGGCAAGTGTAATGCTGGTTTCCTACCCCCCTGGGGGTACTTTAGGAATTTCTGGGTGGGGATGTGCCGCTGGGACCCTGGAACCCATAACCTATACCAAAGCTAGTTCAGCTGAATTTTGCTACCCGATACTAGAGTAAACTCCCCAAATCCTCCCTAGGTCACTAGCACAGTCTAGCCAAAACAAAGCCTTACCACAGTCCCTAGTCTGGATAAAATCTTCAACTAACTGATCCGTTTCCTGAAAAATGATACCCTACTCTAGACCCAAACGCTCTGATTTATATACCCTATCCTAGAGTAAACTGCTTGAAAACCATACCCTTCACAGTGGCACATACCTATATATGGCAGTACCCCCCCACCACGGGGTTTTCTACATACGTGCCAAATGTTTCCGTAAAGATCCGACGTGCTTCCGACGGTATCAGATTGCAAAACAGGCCTGCATGACGTCACGTTACGACAGCATGACATTTGTTGTTTTGAGAATAATTTTTCTTTAGACAACAGGGAACTACTGGCCGGCGGTGGAGAAAGTAAGTGTTCTCCCAAATAACCACCGTAAAGGGTCGACTTTGTAGAGCTTCAGTCCAACCCGACATGGGAAACTGCTTGAAAAGCTCTGGTCAGGATGATATTTCGCTTTTACATGACGACGAAAGCTTAGATTCACCAAGGACAGGCGAACCTCCACCGCCATACCAGGTTCAAAAAATAACTCAATATGTACATTTCCTTCTCGTTTGATTACTCTAGCAAAGATTGAAGTGACGTTTTCTGTGTTTTATTGAAGGAGGAAGCGCCAATCTTTATTCAAAGCCAACATGCTCCTCATCTGCTGTCCGAAGAACAGCAGATTCGCTTAGCACAACGTCTTGGTCTAATTCAACATCTTCCAGTCGGAAAGTACGATGGCTCGAAAGGAAAAAAGAGAGAGTAAGGATATTCTTTGTGATGTGAAATTACGTCAGATCTTGCTTTTTTCTTAGATACTGTAGGACCTTTCTCAGAAAGGTGAAAGTTGAAAAACTGTATTTACGTAAAGCAGCAATTAGATACGAAATCTGTTTAATATTTTATTCTAAAGCTTCTTAGCTGTAACCCTTACTGTGGTTTCGAATAATCCAGACTTTTTTAATTGCGAGCTATGTGGATACAATGGAATGTTTCCGTGATAGGTTTGTGTTTTGTTTGCGTGCTTACTTGAGAGCATTTTCTCTCTTATGAATAGCAGTGTTGTGTAACCTTAATTTTCGGAGGAAATGGTCCCTAGCATCCCTTTATTCTTGGTCCATCACTCACAGATGTGCGTTAAATTTGTTATTCGAAAGAGAACACGAAGCGCAAATGTTTACGTGGTGCTCAGCTTAGAGATTTTCCGAACCAAGTTCACGGGAATGCGAGAATTTTGAAGCAATTATTTAATTCAATATACCCACGCGATGTTACAATAAGTCCTCAGACCTCGCTCGCTTTTTTTGTTTACCGCGACTTCCGGCGTGGGAAGGCAGCAGTTGCCTCTCACAATGGGCCCTTTTTTAGTATAAATTGTTACCCTTTGATAAAAACTTATAGTATGATTCATTCAAACGCCGAAGAGCACAGAGAAAAGAAGAAGCGCTGTTTCTGCCCATTTTTTATTTATATGAAACCTAAATGATATTCTGGACTTCGTACTTGTACGTGTAATAGCATAATATTTCTGGGAAACAGGAAAGGAATTCTAAGAAGTTTTAACAAAGCAGACTTCCCCTTTTCCTTGTGTTAACGTATGTTATTAATTTACCCCAAATAAGTTCATGGCGATTTAATAAAGACTCATAAAAGGGGCAAAGTTTTTGGTTACATGATAAGAAAACGCGTGTTTGAACTACAAAGAAGAGATGATTATCATGTGCTTATACATGTTTCTGTGTATTAAAATTTTCGTCGGATGGTACGTGACTTCAATGTAGACAAACAGTCATAGTACTTTTAGTGTTGATAAAATGTTATTTTGGGGGGAAAACCCCTTTACTTCTGAGTAACTGGGAAGGTATTTTCTCTTTCATTACTCGGGTGCTTATAAGGTAACCCACCTTTTCCTTTCAATTTACTTTGTTGAACATCAGTGAGATGATTTACGGACACCTGCATGAAAAGGTTATAATGCAATTATTTATTACTTGCCTCCACATGAATGCTTGGCAGAGAAATTTTGGTTTAAATTTTTGTGTTACTTAAATTTTCCTAATTTTTTTTCTCTGAAGGCACTCAATTTGTGCTTTCAATAAGCCAAGTTGAGAGTTCTTTCTCTGATCATCACTTTGCTTTGTTGAAAAACAATGCAAAAAAAGAAACAGGAATAGTTGGCATTGTTTGTGTGTTGGACATGTACCAGTAAAACCTCTTCTTATTGGTAAGAAGGGTCCTAAAGCAAGTGAAGGAGGTTTAAAAATGGGGGTTGTGAAGCAACCCAATTAAGCAGTCCTGAGCAGTCGTCTTGTCCCGCTTGAAGGATTTTGAATCTTATTTCCCACCAAAATTAAAAGTTGGGGGGGGGGGGGTGCTTTCTTGATTGCTTGACGGATGATGTGCCCTAAAGTGACAAAGCGTGGCTTAAAGCAATGACATGTGGACTAATGACAACAACATCGTTGACAGTTTATCGGGTTGTAGCTATAATTTATTCAGTGACCCCTTTTTGGGTCACTAACATTCGCCCACTGCAACCAAGACAAGTCGTTTCATGTGACAAAAAAAACTGAATGACTACGAAGGACTTTGTGAAAATCTAGTGTACAATGTACAAAAAGAGAAAGCAAATAGGCGTTTAGTATTTGTTGTACAAGTTAGTGAGTGGCCAGAATGGCACTCCCTAAAAAATGGTTTAAAGAGCAGTCAATGGCTTTCTTTTAATTTTTTACTGGTAGGAATTATAAATTAACACTGTATTTACTCCAGATCATCACTAAACTTGTAAAAATGTGTCTTCCAAGAGCTTCAGCATTTAACTTTCATGGTGACAGAAACACATATATGACTTTGTACAAATTCCCCAGAGTGATCTCCGTACATTTCCTCATAGAATTAGTTCAGTGAATTTGATAAAAGATCTTTATTAACTCCCATAACCTAATGTGTTGATTATTAATTTTTAGTGATATTGTTAGAAGAAAATGGATGTTGGTCACTCTTGGAAATTAAAGGGTTATGTGACACTACAAAGAGACTTTTGCTTTTGCTTTTGCTTGTATCAATCATTTTGGTCTTCTCAAGGTGCCCTTTTCACATCCGACCTCAAAGATAAGTGGTTTAGCCATGACAATAGCATTTGACTTCATATTTCAGGTGTGTAATATGTATGACAGACTTTGTCGTGGGTGATCCAATTCGGTTTCTTCCTTGTATGCACATATATCACAAGGACTGCATAGAAGATTGGCTGGTTAGGTCATTCACCTGTCCGTCATGTATGGAACCTGTCGAGGCGGCACTACTTTCTACATACTATGAAGCTTCTACAGAATAACCAGAAACAATGGAACCCAGGTGATAGAGAACAAATTAAAGACATTTTTATATCAAGTATCTTTCACAATAAAGTTGCAGTTGCCTTTGAGGGAGAATTGTTGAAGGTTTTGGCCAGAAATTAAGTCTATCAATAACTTTAATACCAGTAATGTTTCAATTAAGCTATTTTAAATTTAGAAAATAGAGGAAATATTTTGGGTATTTTGTCTTAATTTATAATAATCTTTCGATCACGGTTTCATCTTTTAGTTCTTTTCTCATTTCTCTTAGTTTTTTTTTTTGGAGATGATAAGGTAAAGTTGTTAAGCTATTTAACAATGCTACTGTCAGGTCAGAGACGTTTGCTGATACAATTATTATTTTTTGTGATATTGTTTAATTTATCATCTATATAAGAATGCTTGGACTAGAACAAACATACAGATAATATCTGTTCAACCAAATTTAGTACAGTTCAAGTTAAGGAAGTAGGACGATCTTATTCACATTCATCTGAACTTTAGCATGTTGATCTGGCCATTAAAATTGCATCAGAGACTTAGTACACAGGTTCACAGTTAGTTTTGAAACTTGTGTACATATTTATAAAGATTTTGTTTATAGACAATAATATTGCCTGGAATTTTTACCAGCACATCATCAACCAACACATGCAATTTTCAAATTTGTATCAGATGGAGCTTAACTCCTAATTTCTCCTTGATGTCCATTTGACACATTGTATTCTGACTATGTTCAGGCATGTATGTGATTATACACATTAACACTTTCATTCCCTGTACTGGACAATGTGAAAATTCACCGACAATCCTCATTCACTTTTGTAAAGTCACTGGAAATAAAATTAATAGTGCCATACTGATAAGCGAACAGTGGCAACACCATAGGATTTCTAACAGGTTCAAAAGTTAGATAAAACTCATTCTTAGATCAGAGTGAAAGGGCATTATTCAGCATAATATCATATGTTGGCTGTCAGCAGATACATGAATCTTGCATCCAAATTGGTATGATCCTACAGTATATCAATTGTAATGATTCTGTTAACAGTAATGTTCATGATCAATATTCTCAGGGGTATATTATTTCAATGATTGCTAAGTGATGGTTCAATTTCTGTCGGATTTCAAAATCTTAAAATGCAACTTACAGCTGAGAATTTCGGTACCAAAAAAGGCCCTCTTAGCGGGGTGGGGAGGGGGCTACACATGTCCCTAGTCTGAATTTCAAATACCGTCTTCTTGAATTTGAGAAGTTGGCCGTGTCCCTGTCGGTATCAAACCCATCTTTGGGTCATTTTTCCCCATCTCAAGAGCTAATTTTGTTATCTTTATGAAAATCATGTTATTTAAAAAGGCCAAACTTGTAGTTGTGCATTCATTTGCTTAAGGAGCCTGTTATCCTGGTAAAACTTAGAATTATACATAGTACTACGTCTAAGTCAGTTAAAAAGGACATTCATTTTCTGAAGATTGTTGTTTTTTATTCACTAAATTTATTTAATGAAGTTCAAATAATTTCATATATTAAAGTCTTATAAAGGTTAACCATATATAATGATAAGATCTTCAAATTTTATTCCTTCTACTGACAATTTCAATATTCATTTCAATCAAAACACCTTCAGATTTCTTTAGAATGAGATCGTTAATGTACATTTTCATTAATTTTTATGCGTAATATTCTTTTTGTACATAGCCAACTTCTTGTTATAAGATAATGTTTTAAAATGTAAAAATGAACTTCAAACTTGTAAATAAAACTTAAAATGTGAAGTACAGATTGATTGCTTACTGTTGTTTACAAGTCTTCCGAAACCATAGCCCCGAGGTGAATAGTTGTGGATACCATTAAGTGAGGTATAGTAAACAAGCACAACCTCTAATTCACTGACAGAACACGTTGATCAAGTATATTTGCCAACCCGGTGGACTGCAGCCCCAGTGGTGAAGTACTTTCACAATCTAAGATTTTACAATTTACCGATGAACTCGTACCATAATCAAAACCTACATCCTGTTAGTTGACACAAAATCTCAGCTTTTTAGAGCATTGCCCCATTGCTAAGTTATGCATAGTGTACCCCTACCATTGCTGTAAGTGTTCAAAGTCTAATAATTTCTGAATCATTAACTGAAAAAACGTACCAAATCTGAATTTTACTACAATTTAAAAACTCTGAAATTGCATGGCTCTGCAGACAAATACTGCTTGATATAACCTTCCATTTCACATTATATATTATTTCTGATTTAGACAGAGCTTACACTGTGTAAACATAAGTTAATATCTTAGCAACTGAAAAGGTTCAAAATTTGGTTGAAAAAGACTGGGAACCACACAGTGGGGCTCAGGCTTGTTTCTTTCCATGATGAGTATTGTAACACTGACTTGATCATTACAAGTGGGCGTCTAAAGCCTTCAGATACTTTGATGAAATCAGTTTGGGGACCACAAGATGTCTGCAATTTAAATAAATTCAAGTGTTAGTCAAGTCCTAACTTAAAGGGACCTCCCTAGAAAAGCTCAGCTGAGCTTGCAGAGATCTCCTGCTAATCGATTGTGTTATGGATGTAATGCATTAGTAATTAAGTGGCAAAAATAAATAATACCCTTTTCAGAGTCTGTAAACCCTGAGGCAGAGCTTCTTCCTTATACCAGCCATAAGGGTACATGGTTTTTGCCCGGTTTTGGTCTGAAAACAGGTGTAGACTTTGCCCATTTTGGTCTAGATTTGGGTATGGTTTTTGAAGGAACTCAGTAGTGTATGGATGTACTCGTCATTTCAGTTTCAATTGAATACGAAAGAAAGTTGGAATGGATTTTCAGAAATCTTTTTCTTGGCATTCTAATCTCAGTAATCAAGACATAATTTCTATCTAATCTATGTAAACATGTGTGTTGCATTTTGTGACCACCTCCTAGCCTGCGTAGCTGGTGGTATTGTGTACTAGTCAAGTGAGATTTGGCAGCGGAGCTGCCACGAGCGGCAAAGCTGCGAGAAATATTTCAAGTATTTCAAACGCCTCAACCCCACTCTTTTTTTTGGATTGCGACTCCACCGCCAAAACTTTAATCATACAATACCACCAGCTGCACAGGTTAACCACCTCCAGGTATGGATTTTAGAGGCCAGGTCTGAAAACAGGTGTGGAAAATGACATTTTTGGGTCTGAAATAGGGTGAGGATTTGGAGAACAAGGCGGCACAGCCCAATCAAGAATTCCCAGAATTCCCCCACCCCCATCACTCTTGGATTTTCAACTTTCTCATGTGCCTTTTTGTGAAAAGATTGTCTCAGAGAATTACTTGGCCATTTAATAATTATTAAAAATTATTCTTATCTGATACTGCCTTCAGTTGGAAGGAATTTGTATCTGGCCACAGCCCGAGCAAAAGTCAATTACTGGAGGTGCATTAATAATAATAATAATGTTTATTTCTTATATTGCACAGTCTAGCATGCGATAAAGATATGATCGAATGCGCATTACAACAGTAAAATCTTAAAGTAATAAATGGCTAATCCAAATAATGATATTAATAATAATAATTTACAATGTTCGGAAAACAATACAAGTAAAATATGAGTTAATAAAAGAACTAATAAAAAGCTAATTTAAAAAGATGTGTCTTTAGTAAAACTTTAAAAATTTTCAATGATTGATTGATTGTCTAATTTCTAGAGGGAGTCGGTTCCATACTTTGGGCGCAGCATTTTCAAACGCCCTATCCCCGAGTGTCTTTTTTGTTCTATGGGTATTGTCCATTAGGAGTATGCCCCGGTATGATCTCAACTGATACCGCGAGCTCTCTTCGATTTTTATCAAGTCTAAAAGATATTGTGGTGCGACGCCGTAGATACATTTGTGAACTAGCATTGCTATCTTGAATTCTATTCTGTGGGTAACCGGAAGCCAGTGCAGGTTGATCAGGGATGGTGTGATAGGATCATACCTAGATACAGTACATACCAGCCGAGCTGCCGCATTCTGCAGGCGTTGCAGCTTACCAAGATGAACAGCAGGCGTACCATATAATAGACCGTTACAATAGTCTAATCGTGACATTATAATAGCCTGTACAATGGACTTGCTATTGTCATATGATAAATACTTTCTAATACGCCGGATGTTATGTAGATGGTAATAAATAGACCATTAGACCACATATTGAAAAGTATACTTAGTCTTACATATGCCACACCGCCTTGACTGCATCACTGATACATGCTGATTCCATGTCTTATATCAGTCACATTTTAAAAATTTAAAAGTTTAATAAAAAAATTGTGGTAGTTTTGACTCCTATAAACAGCTCTATAGAGACAGGTCTCTTCAAGATCTGACAGTAAGTAACACCTGATACCTACTGGGCCATCTCATCAACTTTTCAAAAGGCAATTTGGCAATCATTGTATTGGAGGTGTTTTAATTCTTACCTGATTGGCAAAAGAAACATAAGCAAAACTGGGAACACCATCTTGAGGTACGGCAATGGAGCAAAGCCAAATCCACACAGGACGGCCAGCTGCAGGAACTGTAAAGCTGTGTATATATGCATCTTCCTCTGAGGGACATGACGAATGTAGTGGTTTGGAGGGTAAGCAGCCTGCAAGAATTTTTAGGGCAAGTTCGTTGTAATTTAATTAATTTAATTTACAACTGTAAAGGCTGTTCTTGTACTTTTCAAATGTTGACCCTTTAAACCCTAAGAATGATCATCATCAAATTTCTCCTCGTAATATCAATGCTTTGTAAAACAAAGTGGTTATGAGAATTACAGACACGATCACACAACATAAATTTGCCTGATATTTTATCAACTTCTTCCCACCACGTCTGTAGGAAATGAATAGGGGCAACAAGTGGGAATTCAAATTTTGATCGTAGGGTTTAAAGGGTCAACATTCTCTTAGCCTGCATCGCAGATGTAATCTAAGCCCAGTTTGCAATGTCTGTGAAGCAGCACCAATATCCTAGTTCTGGGCCCCCAATTGATTCAATAAAATACCAAAAAAGAATTTTGATCTTCCCTTAAACCTGATTGGCATATCAACAGTGACTTCTTTAACAGGCCAATCATAGGTTAAATAATTGTACTCAAATCCTGGTACACAGGTGGAGTCCAGAACAAGGATCTTGGCACTGTTTTGCAGAGGGACTTAAACAGACCTTTTAATTAGTTATAACGAAGCTGAATCACTACTATACCTCATGGACACCATACAATGCAGGCATGAGAGGGGAATTCAACTTGTTACAACCCCCAAAATTCTTAAACAGCTCACTATTCTAACTAGCTTTATCCATTCTTTTATCTGTCATGTAGATACATAACCTGTATTCTAAACCAAATGTCTGTCACATCACTATGTACCAGTATCCACGAATTCATAATAACTTCTTATTTTAAAACCATTTCCTAGTTCACAGTAGCACCCTTAAACAATCAACTGTTTTGAAGGTGGACACTGTTGAAACCAGCAGTATGTCATTATAATAAAAAGCTGAAGAAAATGACAGCAAAATTAAGCAGGCACCAACACTCCAACTGTTCATTCAGGGAAGTGTTGGTCTTGCAAATGTGTCCTATTAGGCAACGTTCACATTTGGAGCTCGTACACGGTAGTCGCTGGGCAATAATGTGAACACACCCTTTTTTTCAAGTACTCATGCTTGAATTTGGGGATGGTGCCAGTGCTCAAGTATACAAGGTTGAGACCTTGTACTCAGGCACAAAGTAGGCACCTGGTCCCTGTGTGCAGACCATTTTTGTTAGTTCTGGGAAAATCCACTACTTTGTACTAATTGCTGCTAAAATCGTGTTTCAAAATGGCGTCTGACAGGGCGAAATGGAGTAACTATGTACATGGTTACATATCAGGTACTCAAGGTGTGGACACAACACCATTTTGTGCGGGTACCCAGCCACACGTTCTCGGACACCAAGTGTGGAAAGCTCCTCAAAGAACTGACTGAGTAGCTGTATATTTAAGATTGCTGGCTGGAGTGAAAAGAGTTTGAGAGTTGACAGCCTTTTTACCTGTTCTGTGATCAACAACAATGTTCTCTCAAACATCTGGTTGCCATCCAATGCTGTTATGGCCATGAACAGGAACAAGCCATCAAGTACCATTGTGGGAATAAGAGTGAGTGGTGTTGGCAGCATCAGCAGGGAAAGTGCAATCAGTAAATTGGAGATTAAACCAGACAATCTTGTTTCTCTGACTTTCACAATGCTGAAAATACGTAAGTTCAGTACCAGAATGTTAAACTGGTAGGAATCATGGATCAACTAAGGTTTCTGCATAGGCACAATATTATTTTACCCTTGGTCAGGTAAGTGTTAATGTAACAGTGTGTGGGTGGTTTAATGACTGTGACTACTTTTAAATGAACAAGGGTTGTGAGTCACCGAACTACTAATAATTCCAATGCTAATTTTATAACGTCTTGCTTTGTAGGACAAGAAATGTTGGCAACCTAGCAATTTGAAAGAAAGTTGAGGAAGTTTTTTTTTTTTTTGGAAAAAAAAATGGAGGGCAAACTTACAGGATATATATGACAGGAATAGAATACAATGACAACAGCAACAAGACTAGCAAAAAGCTAAATGTGGATAGTTACAGATTTTTAATCATACATAGAGATAGAAGTGCTGATAGTAGCAACTATAGGCTAGGGACAGATTTTGGGAGCCTAGTCTAGTTTAACATAGCAAAATTCAGTCAAACTAGGTGTGGTATACTGTATAGGCTAAGGGTTTCGGGGTCCCAGTGGCATATCCCTCCTTACCCAAATATTCCTAAACTACCTCCACTCAGTTCTACTCTCACTTACATTTCAAACACATGACCTCTATCAACTCTCTCCTCAACATCAGCCAGTGCTCTCACATGCAGTGGTGAGTGGGGCAGGGCAGCGTGTACCCATGGTAGGCCAAATAGTGAGAGAAAACTGTTCACTACTGCCACCACAAATAAATCCCAGTGATATGCACTGCCTTTCTTCAACCTAAAAGGAGCGAGTATTTAGAGTTGATTGGCGTCCTTTTACAATCTATTTCACCCATCTTGTTAGCGATTATTTTCAACATGCAAATATAAGACTTTACTGTTAAGCACTACGGCACTTATATTGCTGCAGCAGCTGTTGGTAGGAGCTTGGCTCAAAGATCTTGTAAATTTGCATTCATTTGAGAGACCTTTAAGTCTCAGAGAGACCTGATCTTCTCAGAGATTTTAAGGCTGACCTAACCAAAATTAAGGAAAGTCTAAGGATGGCAGAGTATTGCAGTGGAGGGTGAGTTGAGATAAGTTTTAATTAGATCATGCCAGTCAGTGTCCTATCCATTCACGGGATGTGATTCTGCATCAGCAATAATAATTACATATGTACAAACTTACTTTAGGAGACTGGGCATTTCATGGTAGTGCCTCAAAACTCTGCGACCACTTTCCAGAACACATTTATTTACAATAGAAATAAGGATACAATCATATGTTTGGAGTCAGCTCCAAAATACACCTTTTTAGATTAGCTTTTAATTTGATTAAATTTCACTATTATTTTACAGTGGTTTAGCATTTTCTTCCCTTAAATTTTATAAGCCAAAATTAGATTTATTGCAATGTTACTATTATAAGTGGAACTATTTTTTACATGTGAGCATTATCCACATGAAGCTTGACACACCCAAGTCAAGTAAATCCAATTGGTTTACCCTTTGATCAGTTTAAAGGTTTGACCCCATGCATGCAGACAGCACCTGTTTCCAGGATTGTTGACCATAGCACTTGAAATGTTCTGATCCATGAAGAACAGCAATGAAAGAGAAAAGCCTAATCCCATGCCTGCGAACACGGCACCCCAGGTCAGCTTGTGAAGAGGAGCGGGAGCAAAGGCAAAGGAGTTGCTGGTTTGAAACTTGTAATCTGTTTCAACAACACAAGAGTTAAAACAACATGTAAGTGGGTGCAAATTACCAACTCACAGTAGTTTTTGATACAACAGCCTTTTAAGCCCCAATATCCGCACCCAAATTCTCTACACAAAACCCCATACATTTTTTTATAGAAACAGTTGAGAGAATTTGATACGAGATCAAAGCATTTTCCTGTTAGTGATCATTTTATTATCTCTTATAACCTTTTTGTCTTTTGAGGTACCCCTCCCCTAAGTCATCATTAAAACTTAAAAACACTTAGGGCAAAATGTTGGATCAGGGGAGGGGTAGGTGGACAGTTTCCGAGAAACCTAAATTGATCCGAAAATTTCAACAAGAATATTGATGTTGGTCACTCCAAGGTCTCGTTACAGCTTGGGCTTGATCAGTTATTAGTGGCTCCATTTTGTCATTGGTTCAAATTTTAATTCATTGTTTCATAGCATGAAAATGAATGAAATAAGTTCGAAACAAACAAAACATATAATTTGCACCAAGGATAAAACATCATTTCTTGTCCCATCCATACTCACTTTCTATGTCTCGAACAAAATATGAAGCAATGAGGGACATGACAAGAACAGCTACTACAAGTGCATAATCAGCCAGTGCTTCTCGTTTGCCAGCATCAAGAAAAGGACTGAAAGGCAGGAATAAAATTGCAAGCTTAATGATAAGTTGCTACTATAACTCTGTAATATTAGTTGTTTTTCATAGTCTTAAGAGGATACCGTAAAATTCCCAGAATAAGCCCCGGGGCGTATATTTTTCAAAGGCCCTTTTTGAGGGGCTTATAGATCTATGCAGGGAAATTTGCATTTCAAAATCGACTGGGCCAGCCTTATAGTTGGAAGTAAATTTATCGTTTTTGCTTTGTTTTACTTTGTATTTGACGGCAGTTTTCCAACTACAAGCCCCTGGGGTGCTTATATTTGGAGGGGCGATTTAATGGAGGGCTTTTTGCGTTACTGGTTTGGGGGGCTTATATTTGGAGAGGCTCATTTTCGGAATTTTACAGTATTTTAATGTTTAATATTAGTTCGTACTGCCATAATTATGTCTACCTTATATATGATCATTCCTATTTCATCCAGTTATGGCTGTGATTTGAGGCATATAACAGCCAAGGTAGCACATCCCAGGATCTCTATCAGGAAGCAACAAGATGCATTGCACCTGCCCCTCCTCCCCCCACCTCCCCACCCCTATGCTAGTTCATCTCAAGCCAGCAGTTTGTCATCAAGGGCCCGTTTCTCTAGAGTTCCCTTCTCATTTCAGG